TGCTTGAGTTGTTTGAAACATTGAGCTTATGAAAGCGGATACTGAAGATAAGACTTGTTAGACCATTAGGTAGAAGATAGTACAGATGGTGAGTGACTTGAGGGCAAGATGGTGACATAGGGAATTAGGAGCCACTTGTGCTTATTACAATGGTGGTTCATAACTGGGGATGGATGAAAATGATTTTCCTTTTCATCAAGGTCTTCTGCAGAGTTGAACCCATGAGAAAGCAATCCCAGGAAACATACTTTTATGCTCATTTTCTTCCTACCCGCCTCCTGTTTCCCCAGGTACTAAGTTCTCTTGACACCCCATTCCCTGTCCTATGATGGGGTAGAAGAGACCAGAGAGACTTGGCAGATTTTCAGAATTATAAAATAAATGATATTGGGCAGGATGTAAAATATTACTGTGGGAATCATCTACATTCTAAGATATATTTTTCACAAGTCGAATTCAAATCATTTCTGTTACACACATCATTGAAAGCTCCCCATGGTGTGTGAAGATTAAAAATCATTTTTTTGTGGCCTCACATTGGGCAATACAGAGGCAAGACTCCTTGTATCTAAAGTAGGAATCTCAAGATAATGGTTCCCAATGACCCCAGGACGCTCATTAAAATTTTTCATTTTCCTGAAATGAGGATGGCACTACCTTTCATATTACGGAGATTCTAAATTCATAAGGGACTCATTATGAGCACTCAAAATCACCTTAAATATTTTCCCAGCACTAAGAGATATGTAAAATAAGAGTAAAAAGTACATAGTGGAGATATGAGATTAAATTCTTTCTCCAGATTAATTACCTTATGATTTTAAAGAGACTGGAAAGTGAGTGAAGGGAGTTTTAGCTTGTTCTTTACAATGAACATCATTCTATAACTTCCAATTATCAAATACTGTGGGTGTCCATAGCCTTATACAAGGTTTCAAAGAAACTATGGACACAGATAAGCTGGAAATTAAGAAAGTTGCCAATTCCTTATTTTAGATATAGAGCTATACAGAGCAAACTCAGAAAACTGGATGGGGAAAGTTTGAAGATCTGAAAACGGAGAGTGAATATCAAACTCCAGAAGCCTGGTGTAAAAGGGGGTAAGTTTTGAGAAAAATAAACAGAAGAGTTTATCCAACATGATAAGTATCTTGTTCTCCAGCAGTTGCCAGGATTGTTGTGGAGAATGGAAATAATGTCATGCCGACCTTACCTTATATTGTGGCTGTACTTAAATAGCATGAAGAAATCATAATTTACCTTTGACATACAAGAAAACTATCACAGAATTGAAAGATTCTCAATCAAAATCACAGAGAAATATTGTCAAACAATGCATACCCTCATATCAGGGAGACAGTTGCCAAAAACTTGTGGAGGGTGTTAGTATGTAGGGGTGAATTATTTTGATAAAACTTTCCTAGTAATTCTAATACACCTCTGGGCAGCAGTCTACTTATAGGTTGAGTGTGAATTGATTCTATAGTGAATAGGTATAGTCACTATTGTGAAGAAATGAGAGTTGCTTTCTCCTAGGGTCTATGCCACCACTGTTGCAATTTTAAGAAATTTTTTGTTTGCTTCTGTTGTTATTTGACATTCATAAATTAAATTAAGAAAGCATTTAGAATACACCTATTCTTCCATTCATATTGCTAGGAGCCACAGTTCTTGAAATCTGTTTATAGAGCAATCAACTAACTTTAGCACATATAAATAAAGGCAAAGGAAAACAAACAATGTATTGGAGGGGAATTATAAGCTGAAGTCCAGCTTATAAAAAACATTTTATCACAATACAATGACACGTTAGTTCAGAAGAAATGACGAACAACCAAGGAGGAGCCTTCCAAGGAGGAATGATATTTGCATTGTCTTTTCAAGAAAGCTGTGTTTTTAGTAGGCAGAGAAAGGCAGGCTAGAGAAAATAACATGCAAAGTGGACAAACCAAGAAAGGACATGCTGTATTTGAGAAGCTGAGGGATATGGTTGATGGACAGGTAACACCTTGAACCCACACTAGAGCACTTGCACTTGGGGAAGCTTAGAATAAACTAGCCATGCAAGTGGTTCTCCAGACATTCAATGCCCTGCAGTAAGTATGCTCCTTAGTGTGTAAGTATGAACCTACCAACTGTATCACTTTGGCAAATCAAATATTTCAGTTTAATAATACTTATATCTTACAGTAGCTATATGGATATATGAAACTGTATAATTGAAACATGCAAAAAAGGTAGAAGTTATTAGTATATCTAGTTTGTAAGAAAAGGGTATCTAAAAGATGTTTATAGTGAAGAGACAGCACATTTATAGATAGGAAATTAAAAAGCTGGTAGAGGTGAGACTAGGTCTAGGAGAAGGAAGCACATATAATATTCACCCCATAGGATAGATGTAGGGCAATAGCAGAGGGGATAAAAATAACCAAGGTGTCAATAAACAGAATACTGTAATTATGGAAGTGACTTATTGGGGTAAAAAATGTGGAAAGAGTGAAAATGTGTTGGATAGTAGCACTCTGATGTCTATAAATCAGGAAACAGGAAAAACCTCTGATATGCGAGGGATATGGTTACTTCTGTTCTGAAAATTTTGCGTCCAGTACTTGGAGAACATTCTGAAACTGGAGATGTGCCAAAGGAAATTTAAGTCTTTTCTTATAGACACCGGAATTGGGGAGTGGTACAAAATGAGTGGTAGCAGAAGCAATAAGAATGGAAATTTTGCTTTAAAAGTGAATTGACTGAGAAGCCTTCAGAGGAAAGAGCTTTTGAGGAGTGGTCTCAAAGAGAAGCCTCATGAATCTTGATTGAAGATTGCTTGAGTAGATTTATGGCCCACCTCAGGAGACCTGTAGTTGTTGTGGGCCAGCCATGGGCTGTGGGGTGTGAACTATGAGCGTGAGTATACAAGGGGACTGGACTGACGTTGCCTCTCTGTGTGGACTGGAGACATATGTGTCCTTTTTGCTGGCTCTGCCCATGATCCACACACAGCACATGAGATGGGCGTGGCTTTCCAAGATGACCGACCATAAGACATCACGAAGCTAGACTCAACAACCTGAAACCTGACCCCCCTCAATGGGGTGGAACTTTCTCAAGTGTCTTCCCCTCAATATAAAAGGGCTTCAGAATGTCCTCCTCCTCTTTTTTGCCTGCCTCTCTTGTGGGGGCTGGAGTAGAAGGGCCTTTGCTGAAGAATCCCAAGAAAAAGGTATTTTCTCTGTCTCGATGTGATTATTCCATGCCAACCCAATTCACCTGGGGTGATCCTGAATGACTTAGTCGCATGTCACGGCATGCAGTAGCTGAGCCCTGTGCCTGCGATGTTCTTTCCTCTGATCTTCACATGTTGTTTGCATGTTGTCATTCTACTCTTCTTTTAAGTAAGTCACCTCCTCAGACGGGGCTTCCCTGACTACACAAACAACAGTAGTCATGAACTCTCACCTCACAGAGGTCCTACATCTCTGGGTCCACATTGTGTTTCCCATTCCTAAATCATTGATATTTCATTAATATCTATTGAATTTATGATCTCCAATAGTCATGCAAACACTCCATACCTCGTGTTTTATAAAATCAGAGTGACCAATCCTCATATAAACTTGTGAGGGCTATAGGAGCCAACTCTGTCTAGCCCTTGTATATTGTCTGGCACATTGTAGGTATTGAGTAGGTGCTGGCCACCTGCCTTGGCTCCTCTTGTATTCTTTGACCACAGTGGCAATGCAAAGACAAGACAGCCACTCTTTGGCTAATAACAGAATTGTTTTCTCTTTTGTCTTCATTCATCTTTCACCTTTGTGAATCCTTCAGAATAATTACCAACCACTACCTCTCTTTTTACACACCTGATTCCTCGTCACTTTTTTCCCTTCATCTTTAAGAGAAGTCAAGGTTAAAACAAAAATTTTATGGGAAGTCCTCATAACTTTTTTCTGCCCTCATCGCCTTTGTGGATTGTATGTTTAAAGAACAATCAAAATAGAAGTTTGCTTGCCAAAATGATCTGAGGAAACTGAGTCTTTCAGATATGTACAACAAAGCAAACCAGTCAAGTTATACTAGCTACAAAATGTCCTGGAGGTCCTGCTAACAACTCAAAAGTTGATCAGAATATAACCAAATTTCCCATTCTGGAATGAGACAGTATCTTCAAAAAAGATCCACGTTAGCCCATCATATTATCTTGGGATACGCACATGGGAAAGAACTTCATTGACAAGTTCTTAAGAACTGAAACTTTACCGATATGTTTTAAGAACTATTATATTAAGAACAATTAATTTTATACATCTCAAGATTCAGTTATTATCAAATATAGAAGCCCAGAGATTGCAACAAGTTAAATTAATTTATTTGATCTAATCATTATCAAAAATATCATCCTTGGAGCCATCATATGTGGAAAGCAAAGATGAAAGAAATTTGGAAGTTCTTTTCAAAAATTTTACTGATCTCTCCAGAATTTTTAAACGTTATATTAATATTAAATTATTTAAGTTATTGAATTATCTTATTCTATCAATATTTTACTAGGGACTCCTGAGTGCCAGGGTATCATTATATTTTTAAAAAGATTTTTAAAATGTGATGTGTCAAAATCAGAGTAAGCCAAGGTTAAAACAAAAAATAAGACTTTTATTAGTATTTTGTCTCTTCCTTGCAGATCCAGAATGCAGAGAAGAGAGAGAAAGAGTACTTTTCTGAGTAGAATCCAAGAAGATACTTGGATGCCCTCTGTGGCATTTATACACATCCTCATGCTAGAATCATTCCCCTCATCAGACTCCTGATCCTGACTTTTGTCAATTACATTTAAGTCTCTAGTTTACTAAAATTCTATAAGAGTTGCCTTATAGAATTTGTCCAGGGACTCAAAATCAAAGTCCAGGCAGCATTAGCATCTAAGGAGATTTTTCCAATTATCTCTGAGTCTTGACCAAGAGCATCTGTGTTATTGGTATCAAGTGTCTATGCCTAACAGGAAGATGGGCAATCACACAGCAGTAAACACATTCCTTCTGTGGGGATTTTCCAGTTTCCCAGACCTGCAGAATCTCCTCTTTGTAGTGATTTTCTCCTCCCATGTGACCATCCTACTTGCAAATGTGTCCATAATGGTGGCCATCAAGCTCAGTCACAACCTCCACACCCCCATGTACTTTTTCCTCTTTGGCCTGTCCTTTTCAGAAACCTGTACCACGATGGTAATCATCCCCCGCATGCTAGTGGACTTGCTCTCAAAGAGCAAGACGATTTCTCTTCCTGAGTGTGCCACACAAATGTTTTTCTTCTTTGGTCTGGCAGCCAACAACTGTTTCATCATGGCTGCCATGTCCTACGACCGTTACACTGCCATCCACAACCCACTTCATTATCCCGTCCTGATGACGATAAAGATCTGCTTTCATCTCATGATGGCCTCCTGGGTGGTTGGGTTCCTGATTTCTCTCTGCATCACCATTATTATATTCAACTTATCTTTTTGTGACTCCAACAATATCCAGCACTTCTTCTGTGACATTTCTCCTGTGGTTCACCTTGCTTGTGATTACACTTCCCATGAAGCAATGGCTATTTTTGTGCTCTCTGCCTTTGTATTGGTGGGAAGCTTTATTTTAATTATGATTTCCTATGTCTTCATTGTGTCCTTAGTTGTGAAGATGCCCTCTGCAAAGGGGAGGTATAAGGCCTTCTCGACTTGTTCCTCCCACCTCATGGTCGTGTCTATACACTATGGATTTGCTTGCTTTGTCTACCTGAGGCCCAAGAACAGCGATTCCTTCCATGAAGACATGCTGATGGCTGTCACGTATACAGTGCTGACACCTCTGCTGAACCCCATAGTTTACAGTCTAAGGAACAAAGAAATGCAGATGGCCCTAAGGAAAGTAATAGGCAGTGTAATTAAATTTTTTTCTTATTTGACAAATAAAAAAAAATCTTAATAATTTAAAAAAAACTACTGCACACTAATGTTTAAAACTGAAAAAAAGTGGTTTATTTATAGTAAAAATCATCATTATGTATATGAAACAATTAAAGTGCTAATTGATATATTCTGGCTTCACCATTTTCCTACTTCAAATTTTGCAGTTTTAAGCTGTTTTTAAATGTCACACTATGCACGTGTGTCTGTGTGTGTGTGTGTGTGTGCGCGCGCTCGCACATGCAGTAAACATGTTAAAATGCTATGAAATGCTATATTTTTGTGATATTATTTGCTTTGGGGGAAAAAGATGATTTTATATTAAAGAGAGATGGTAAGGAAGAAAGAAAAAGGAAGCAGGTAAGAAAAGAGGAGGGTAAGAAAGAAGGTAGAGAAGAAAGGAAGGGAAGATGGGAGGGAGAGAAGAAGAAAGAATGAGAAAAAGAGATAACTCTTGTAATTAATTTAAAAAGAGCACAGTACAAACACATATAATTTGAATTAAATGTGACGATGGGTGCATTATCCAGATAAAATTAAAGTCAACTTAAGAGAACAATTTGTTCAAGTCTATTCAAACACATTTTTGGAATTAGAATGGAATGGATGAATTTCGGGGGATGGAGGGACTACCAAAAGAGCAATAGACTTTTGAACATACCAATTTCCATGGAAAATATTGAGATATCTGTCAAAGAGCTATTCTTCCTTAGAGCACTAGGCCAGATGGTTTAACAATTATTTGGTTCAAATTCTCAAGGAACAGATAATTTTAAAGTGCTTAGACCATGGAGATAATATTATTTCAACTGTCTTCGACCATGAAGGTAAATAACTTCTAATTTTTGGACCTCATGGTGCTAGAAAGTGCTGTGCATTGCTGCCTTCTGATTGTGTCTGTGGTAGTGAGTTTCTGAAATGAATCGTGGGAAACCAGATGATGAGAGTCCACATGGTTATAGTGGGTGTGCAGTAGTGTATTATTGTGGGTTTGAATTACATTTGCCTGATGATTAATGTCCAGCAACTTTTCATCAATTTATTGACCATTTGTTTATCTAATTTGAAGAGATGCATTTCCAAGTCCTTTCCCCCATTTTTAATTAGATTATTTGTTTGAATTTTAAGCATTTTTATAATGATAAATACACATTCCTAATCAGATATATGATATGAAAATATCTTCTCTCATTCTGAAAATTATTTTTCTACTTTCTTTATTTTCTACTTTCTTTATAGTTTCCTTTGGAATACAAGGAAATTCAGTTTTAATGAGGTTCAACTTATATGTTTTTCTATTTTTGCTCATATTCTTAATGTCATAACTAGGAGTTAAGTTGGACTCATATCATACAAAAAAATTAATTCAAAATAGATCAAAGCCCTTAATGGAAAATATTAAACTACAAAACTCTCATAACATGGGGGAAAGTCTTCCTGATCTTAAATTACATTGGTTTCTGGCTAGGAAGGGGTCTGGGTAGGCCCCTTGGCTGATGTTAATGTTCTGCATGATAAGAGCTGTTCATGTTACACAGGCAAATGCATTTATCAGTAGACAGTGACCATGCACTAAAGACACGCATGTTTCACTTCATGTAAATTTGCATTATATTTCATAAGACTTAGAAAACTGAAAGCCAAAGATAGAACTGCAAACTCCAGAACAAACTGAAGTAGGTAGGGATCACTTGGACCAACCAAGCAGAGCCTGCTACAATGTTACAGATATGCTTATGAGCAGGCAAATATTGATATGTACCTATCAGGAAAAGTTGTTTATAAGCCATGTGATGTTTTAGCAAATAGGAATGGAACTAGCAAGTATTAACCATTTATTTTCTGATGGGACTGTATTTATAACATTTTAACCCTGTCCCCCCCAAATAATACTTAGGAGGAAATAGTTATAAGGGAGAACAAATTATTTGCACTTAAGTATACAATTGATAGAGCTTGGATATGAATGCAGGCCTAACTCTGCCCAGTTTTCTATCCAATTGAAAAATAGACACCACTGTAACTCCAGATCTAATTTCTGGTATAGTTAGGTGATTTCATTGTATTAAAAGAACCAAGCAGGAAGAATAATATATGTAATATAATTGTATGTGATATATAATTATATAGTACATTTATAAAACATATATAATACACTTGTGTATTATATAGTACATTTATATAATAATAGGTTATATTTATATATATATATATATATATATATATATATATATAAAGGTTCTACAACTTACATAGTTTCAACCATAATTTAATGGTTAATTCACTATAAATTATCGTAAATTAGATTTTTTGTTTCCCCTCATTTTCCCTTAACCACTAACTGTACACACATTTGATTTTGTAATTATGTAATTATCACTAGTAAAATCAGCAAGCATTCCTTTGATGAAAAAAATTAAGGAAATAAGCTTTCACATATATGTAGGAAACCTGGAAAGCCATTTACAAACAGAAAAAAAATGAACCTCATGAATGTCTAATTTATGAAAATTTCATTACATTTCCTATCACCTGTAACTCAATAAAACGTACTCTTTTGTTTTTCAGACAATTAAAAATATCAATTACTTTTTCAAACACTGTAGAAAAGCTGAATCAAAGTTTACTTTTTTATTTTGATTGGTTTGAAAAAAAATAGTTTTCCTAAGATTTGGTAGTAAATAGCTACCATTTTTCTATTATTGAACTTTGCTTTATGAACAGGAATTAAGTGAAACTTCCAGAAATATTCTCTAGTTCAATCTGGTGAAGAATGCAGTCCCAGAATGATCATTATTTTGATCACTTCTTGGGACTTCGATTGAGTAACAATGTCCTGACTTTTCTTATGGCCAGGGGACAAGAAAGCCTGTGAAGTGACCTAAATTGAAGAGGCAGCCACAAATTGCTGTAGGTCTCATTGTCATCTCAAAGAAATATGCTCAACTCAGCCCACTACATCATTCTGCAAGGGTAGAGACTGACAAAACTAGGAAATAGGGTTCCTGTCAGTCTACAGAATTAATATGTATAGCCCAAGGTTGAATGTATCACAGAATACTAGACAGAAAACAACTCCTTCAATTTTGCTTCTCAGGATCTGACTGGAAGTAATGGGAATAATGACATACGACATTTTCCCAATCACTAGTTACTTTGAATATATGAAAAAATAAAATCTATCATCAATACAAATGGGAAAAGGATGTCACCCAATCACATTGAGAGTTTCAAAACCTAGATATGACAATTACTCTCAAATTTTGATTTTCTCTTCTTGGAAAGATTTGCCAAAACTTGAAATGGGAATGAGCAAGCATATATAACTCTTTTTTTATAATTAGCACATGATAATTATACATAATAGCAAGGTTCATTTTGACATAGTTGTACATGCACGAATATAATTTGCTCCATATTAATCCCCAGTACTTCCACTCTCCTTCTCTTCCTCCCTTCCTCTCTTCTTGGTCCTCACCTCTACAGATCTTTCCTCTACTTGTTTACAGTTTTTAAAATTAGTGCTTTAGAGACATACATAAAAAATGGAATTCACTGTGGTGTATTCATAGATATACATAGCATAATTTGGTCAATTTTATTCCACAGTTCCTCCTTTTTCCATTCCCTTCTGTCTCCCCCTCAATCTTCTTCCTCTATCCCATTGAAAGACTTTGATTTTCATGCCCTCCTCTTTTTCTTGTTTTCTAATTTTGCTCTAGATTTCACATATGAAAGAAAACTTTAGATCCTTGACTTTCTTAGTCTTGCTTATCTCATTTAGCATAATGCTATGCAGTTCCATCCATTTACCAGCAAATGACATAATTTTATTCTTTTTTAGGACTGAGTAAAACTCCATTGTGTATATATACCATGTTTTCTTTATCCATTCATCTGTTGACAAGCATCTGGGCTGGTTCCATATGTTGGCTATTTTGAGTTATTCCACTATTAAAATTTCATAATAGTATGCTGACTTTAATTCTTTTGAATAAATACTAATAAGTGGCACAGCTGGATCATATGGTAGTTCCATATGATTGGTTCCTAGTTTTGGGAGGATTCTCCATACTGCTTTCCAGGGCTAATTTACAATCCTATCATCAAAAGTATGAGTGTAACTTTTCCCCCACATGGTTTCCAGCATTTATTACTTGTATTCTTGATGATGGTCATTCTAATTGAAGTGAGATGGATTCTCAATGTAGTTTCTATTTGCATTTTCTGATTGCTAGGAATATTGAACATTTTTTAAAGAATTTTATAGTCACTTATATTTCTTCTTTTGAGAAATATCTGTTTAGTTATTTTGTTCATTTACTGATTGGATTATTTGGGGTTTTATTGGAGGTTTAGGTTAAGTTTTTTTAGTTCTTTATGTATTCTAGATATGAACCCCCTGACAGAGGAGTAACTGGCGAAAATTTTCTCCTTTCATAGGCTCTCTCTTCATGCTCTTATTTTCTTTGCTATGTAGAAGTTTCTTAATTTGATGCTCTTATTGATTCTTGGTTTTATTTCTTGAGTTTTAAGAGTGTTAAGGAAGTTAATGTCTACAACAATTAGTTGAAGTGTTGACCTTGTTTTGTTCTAGCATTTGCAAAGTTTCTGATCTGATTCCTAGGTTTTTTATCCTTTTTGTGTAGACTTGTATGCAGGGTGAAAGATATGAGCCTTTTATTTTTATATATTTTTTATTCTTCTACATGTTGATATATAGTTTTCCCAGCACTATTTGTTAAAAAGGCTATATTTTCTCCAACATGTTTTTGGCTCCTTCGTCTAGTATTAGATGACTGTATCTATGTGGGTTTGTCTTTGTGTCTTCTATTCTATGCCATTGGTCTATTTTGATGTCAATACCATGATATTTTTGTCACTATACCTCTCTATATAGTTTGATATCAGTTATTGTGAGTTCTCAAGTATCACTCTTCTTGTTCAGTATTGCTTTGGCTATTCTGGATCTTTATCAATCCATATTTCCTTAATAAAATATTAGTAAACTACATTTAAAAACACATTAAGAAAATATCATACCATGATCAAGTGGGTTTCATCCCAGGAATACAAAATTGTCTCAGCTGGTTTTTGTTTCCAGTTAACAACGGTCTCATTCCCAGTTTAGAATGAATTGAGGAGTGTTCTAGTCCTAGTCGTAGAAGAATTGTAGTGATTCTTTAATGTTTGGTAGAATTCAGCAGTGAAGATATCTGAACCTGAGTTTTTCAAATGGGAGTTTCTTTTTATTATTAATTCAGTCTCTATATATTTTATGACCTTATTATTTCTTCTTGAATTAGTTTGGTAGTTCTTTTCTCATGCTTTCTAAGTATTTATCCACTTAAGTTAGTTTTCTAATTTATTTTCAGGAACTCATTCTCTTTCTTTCGTTTTTCAAGTGTTTGGGTTCTCAAACTTAGAGCCTAGAGTACATGTGTTCATGGTAAGCAAACTCCCTACCATTGAACTAGGCAAGTTCCCAGTCCCTCTCTTTTATTCTGATCCTAACAATTTGAGTTTTCTCTTCCTTGATCTTTCCTTTTATCCAATTCCACTGACAAAATCTTGATCCAAATAAAATTCAACTCTCTGCCTTCCTTACACCTACATAAGTAGATAAATTTGTGTAAAAAGCAAAACATAATCATGTTGAATGGACTTTCCCAATTTTTTAAAATAATTTTTTATACGTTTATTTTCTTGATTGATTTTTTTTAATGTGGTGCTGAGGATCGAACCCAGGGCCTCGCACATGCTAGTGCTCTACTGCTGAGCCACAACCCCAGCCCCCCAATTTTAATATTCTGAGAATATAGGGGTTATTGGGAATGTCTAAGACAGTGATAGATGATGAGAAAAACTGAAGTCAAGATCTCACATGAATCACAATGAAATTATATATATATAATATAATTCACAAATAAATTTTAGAATTTTTTATATGAGTCAAATACTTAATATATCTAGCTCACTACCTGTCATCACCTTGAAATATATCACAGGCAGTTACCCTATGAGTCATCTTGGGTTATTATATTTTGGTTATAAGAAGATATGAGTTCTAAATTGCATATTAAGAAAAAAATCAATCCAATTTTGAATTCTGGAAGGCTACATGTGGAATCCTCTTCTGTATAATTTTATACAATGTGTAAGAAAAATAAAGATTTACATTTTTTTCTTTCATGCTGTTTAATCCCTAAACTCTAGTGGAAATACAAATTCATCTTATGAATTCATATAAGTAAGTCATTTAAATTCATCAGGATATTGCACTAGCCTCCAAGGGGCAGAAGTGACCTCTTCTTTCTTAATACAAGTAAGGTGTGCACAGAAGACATCATGATAATTTTGTGCCATTTGGGAATAAGGTGCTTGACCTAAATGAGTCCTCTAGTATATATCAGTCAGGGTTAGTTCAGGAGAGTCACAATTCCTAGTTATTTTGAGCAGAAAATAATTTAATTCAGATAATATCATATTTAAATATTATTGGAAGGACCCAAAGAAGTAAATTTTAGGAGACTTCAATCAAACTTTCAATTTCAAAACTACCATTATGGCCAAACTACAATGGTCCAGAAATGTGCATGCTATTTCTTCCAACACTTAAAAAAATTGGACTTCATGTTGAAGACATCCAATGTTGATGATTAAATAGAAAAATCACATAACATGTGTTAAGATTAATCTGCTGTCTATATTTTTATTAAAGCACAATCAAGTTCCTAAAAATGTTACTTTTTGTTTAAAAAATGTGCTCACGTAGAAAAAACACTTGATGAGTAAATGCAGAGGTTTATGATAACTCAAATAATTTTAAGTTCAAAAATGAAAATTAGTCTCATTCAGAGACAGAATTTTCAGAACTACTACAACATTTTCAGTGAGATTATATGTAAGAAATCAAGAATTTTTAATTTCAGAGGTAATAGAAATAGAAGAAACAAATTGCTCAAAAGATACTACTTAGAAGTGTGCAGCATACAATTCCAAGACTGAAAAAAAAAATCTAAGAATAAAGATGTGACTGTTTCCACAGGAGTCAGTTCATCCCAATCAGTACCCAGTAGGCAGTCCTTCAGAGACTCAAGGTATTTGGTGAAATGGATTCCAAAAAGAGAACAGCTAGTAACTAAGGGAGAACCTCAAATATCTTCTTGGGGTGGCTGCATCAGGCTTGCACAGAGGAATCCTGTCAGACTCAATCAAAGGATAATAGATTTTCAACCATATGCTCTTTAACTTTTACATTTCCAATAATTAAAACATAAGGAGATTGGACACAGGCTCGTAAGCCATAGCAAGATCCCTCTTTACAGTTCTTGCCAACAAATTTTGGTAAAGGTTTGTCTGTAAAATGTAAGAATTCTGAGGCAGCAACTAAACGCCAAGTATCTTTCTGAACACCTCCTTTACTATAAGTCAAAATATTACTAACAAATCCTGCAGGTGTCATAGCAGAATTTCTTCGTAATTGTCTTTTATCAATTTTTGGAGACCAGTCTAAAATATACCCACTATCTTTAGACACCTTATGTTGTACAGGAAAGGTATTTACACAATCCATCCATTTGGGAAAAGTGCCAATCTCAATTGTAGAACTATTTGGACAGTGGGGCATCCGTGGAGGTTTTGCAGAAATGACTGGCTTGTTATGGGAAAGTCCCATCTTAATTACTGATCTAGTATAAGGTCTTAAGTCCCCATAAATAGAATTATTTGTCAGTCTATGTCTACCAATCGCTGTCTTTTCTTCGAATGATACTTTCAGACAGCCAGCATGTTTATCGTGTGACCAACACAAAGGTAATTGGGCACTGTAGCCAGAATAATTAAATCTAGTCACATGATTGGGAGTAATATGGGTATCTGTAAATCCTCCCATCATGAATGAGTCATTAGTAAATACTGGAATAGATTCTCCAGTCCACACAGCTGGATGTACCAGGGGTGGATCTGGGAAATATGTCCAGTAAGTGTCTACTTGATCCCCCTTTACCTGACAGCCCAACAGGGCAATTACTGTTGCTACCATCATCACTGGGGTCCTGTCCTCTCCTAGGTGTCGAAGTATTCGGGTTAGCTTCTTCAAGTCTTCCCATGAAATCAGCTTTTCGGCTGGGTCAATCTGGTCTTTTTTCATCCTTTTCCGATCTCCTCCTTCTGGATAGGGGCTCCTCCTGGTCGATCCTCAGTCGCTTGAATCTGGGTTCTATCTCTTCCATGTCTGATAGCACGTTCAGGCACCCAAATAGGACGAAATGCGCCTTCTGGGAAAATACAAACATGACCTCTACCCCACATAATCACTGGGTCTGGACCCTTCCACTGACCAGTCTGTAAATCTTTCCACAAAACTTTGCCTAAAGGGCCTGTTACTGAGGGAGACATTTGTCTCTCAGCAGCAGTGTGACCTTGTTTAAAAAATTTAAAACAAACAAGGCATGATTAAGGCTATTTTGGGGAGTCATAAACCTATTCCCCCCCTTTAATTTTTGTAATTGAAGCTTAATAGATAAATGAGCTCGTTCCACAATGGCTTGGCCTTGAGGGTTATAAGGAATTCCTGTTTTATGATTAATTTTAAACTCTTGGCAAAATTGTTGAAAAGAAGAGCTTACATAAGCTGGAGCATTATCTGTTTTAATCTGCATAGGGCACCCTAAAACAGAAAAAGCTGCTAAGCAATGAGAAATTACATGTTGAGTATTTTCCTTAGTACGTGCTGTGGCAAAAATAAATCTAGAATAAGTGTCCACTATGACATGTACATAACATTGTTTACCAAATTGAGGAATATGAGTTACATCCATTTGCCATATTTGATTTGGTTTTAATCCACGGGGATTTACCCCTGATGGCAGAGATGGAGTGTGAATAACACATTTAGGGCATTGGCTTACAATCTGACGAGCTTGTTCTCTAGTAATATTAAATTTTTTACGTAAGCTAGAAGCATTTTGATGATGTAAGGAATGGGAAGCTAGTGCACAGTCATATGAAGACATCTGTTGACAAAAAGCTACTAATTTATCAATCTTGTCATTACCAGAAACTAAGGGTCCTGGAAGATTAGTATGAGCCCGTATGTGCCCTATGAAACATGGGTACTTTCGCATTAGCACTGTCTTTTGTAAATTATGAAATAACTCAAATAACTCTTGTGATGAAGTATACCCAATAACTGAAGTTTCAATATTTTTAGTAACTCCAACTGCATATAAGCTGTCAGAATAAATATTAATAGGCTCATTTGAAAAGTAATTTAAGGCACAAATCAGAGCTTGAAGCTCTGCTCTTTGGGCAGAAGTATAAGAAGTTTGTATTACCTCTGTGTGAACACGACTATAAAAACCTGCTTTACCTGAGTTAGAACCATCCGTGAACACTGATAAAGCTTCATCTATAGGATGTGCATGTACAATCTTTGGAAAAATAATTGACGTTAATGATGCAAATTGTATAATCTTATCACGAGGATAATGGCTATCTATTTGGCCAGGAAAATCAGCAAAAGCTATCTGCCATGAGCTAGAAGTTTGAAAAAGCCAATTAGTCTGTTGAATAGAAAATGGAATAATTATGGTATCAGGCTCAGATCAATTAATTGTAAAATCCTAGTTCTACCTTTAATTACTAATTGAGCTATAGAATCATGAAAAGGAATTAATGTCTTTTTGAGGAGAGTGGGATAAATAAATCCACTCAATAACTCCTAATCTTTGCCATATGGCTCCTGTTGGGGTATGCTCAGTTGGAAATATTAATAAATACACTATTTCTTTAGGATCAATTCTAGTAAGCTGTGCATTTTTAATTGCATGTTCAACTCTCCTTAAAGCCATTCTAGCCTCTAAGGTTAGCTGACATGGAGAGGTTGGAGAGGGATTTCCTTGTAATATCTGAAATAAGGGACTTAAATTAGAAGTAGTTAGTTTTAAGGATGGCTTCAGCCGATTAGTATCTCTTAAAAGCCTTGAATATCATTAGGGGTTTGTATGGAAACTGTTTGTTTCGCTCCGGTAAAATTAAAGATGGCGGCCCCCATGGTCGGCGCGATGACGTCACATTGCGTGACCACCTACTTCCTCATTTTCGGCCCGGGGGCGGGCCAACCGGAAGTTTGTGTTCCGGCCAGGCGGAAATGATGACAAGAAGGCAGGCTCATCCGCGCCATCTTGATCTACGGCATGGGGCTGAGCCCTGCAATATCTATTATCACCAGTAGATGGAGCCCTGAACTTAGAATTGCGCATGCGACACTCCTGCGCAAAATGATTATTTCTCCCGCAAATGTAACATTTTCCGCGGGGTTTTCGTACTAAATCCTGTGGTTTCAAAGTTTCTTTTATTGCTGCAGTTAGGGCCACTGTTTGTAAATGAGTAGAGTCTATGTCAGAACATAAGCTAATAAACTCAGAAACTGTCCCTTTTTTACGGTGCGGTCTAAGAATATCCTGACAGTATTTATTTGCGTTTTCGAATGCCAATTGCCTAACAATGAACTCACTCGCTCCCGAGTCCCCAATTGACCTGTTTGCAGCCTGGTACAACCGGGCTACGAAATCTGAGTAAGGTTCATTCACACCTTGCCTGATTTTGGTAAGAACTAAATTGGACTGGTCCTTGGAGACAATTTGTCTCCAGGCGCGTTTCGCACAATCAGTTATTTGATTGTACACTACAAAATCATAATTTAACTGTCTTTCTAGGTCAGTAAATTCACCTGTCCCAAGAAACATTTCTACTGGCATTTCTATATCTTGTCTTTTGTTCTTTTCTGCCTGTTCAGTACAGAAATCAGTCCAGTAAGTCCTCCAAAGTAAGAAATCTCCCCCGCTCAGAAAAGATCTGGCTAAAGAAATCCAATCGCTAGGAGGAAGGGGTTGTGAGCAAATATTTTCTATCAGGCTCTGTACAAAAGGGGAATTTGGACCATATGTCTCACATGCACTTTTTAGTTCCTTAATGGTTTTAAATGGGATTACAGCATGAACTCTAACTCTCTGATCTTGTTCATTAACTTGCTCAAAAACTGGAAAAAGTTGAAAACCACTAGTATCCTCCCCATCTTCCTGTGCTTTCTTAATACCTCACTGGAACGGGGTAAGAAAAGTCATTGTTAACCCAGCGTACCTGTTAAATTTTGTCCTTTTAGCAGGTACTGGCCGAATTCTAATAGCCTGGACAGGCGGTGTTAAACGCAGCCTGTTAAGATTCCTCTGTAAGTCCTGAATTTCCATGTCTGATTCTTCTCCCTCAGATTGCAAATCATGGTCAGACTCTGCACTATCGCCATTTTGAATTTGGGTTTCTAAACCACGTGGCGGAGAAGAACTCTGAGCCCCTCTAGGAATCTCTTCCGGATTTTCCTCTGTAGGAAGATCCTCTACCTCTTCCGGAGGGCTTTCTAAGATCTCAGAGGTTTGTCCTCTATGATATTGGTCCCTAGAATCTCCCTGCGGGCTAGTCTGGTCTTGCAAGTTTAAGGTCACATTCCTAACCTTAGATTTGGCCTTTGTTTTTAAAAGGCCTAAGGGAAAAGGAATTAACTTAGCCTTAGGCGAATTTTCCATTTGAATAGACTTAATAGCCCTTTGCAAGCCTTTTAACAGGTCTTCAGGGGGCCACGAACTTTGACCCATATATTCAAAAAGACAAACTTCTAGAGCAGTCCAAGTTTTCTGAATACTTTCTATGCCTCTAGGTAGTTCATTAGAAAAATAAACCTTTTGTAACTTTCTTCCTAATTTCTCCCAAGTAGATAAATTTGGAGACTCTTGTTCACAAAACCAAGGACAATATTCACCTACAATCTTTAAGAATTGTAATAACTGAGCTTTCTTTATCTGTTTTCCTTTCTGATTAATTATACTGTCTAAAATAGTCAGATACATTTCCTTATCTGTAGAAGTTGAATTTCCCATTTTAATTAATTTAACGTCTCTTTCCTTCAATAGCTCCAGGTACTTTTGTGACCCAAATTGTCACCTCTTCCTTTATCTTTATCTTTATCCTTATCTTTATAGCGTGCTCCCACTCAATCTAACTAATCTAGAATGCCCCCCTCGTGGGCGCCAATTCTACCATGCGGCCTGCGCAATGGTTTCATTAATGAGGTTCTAGGCATAAAGTTAGTTAGAACTACACAGCCAGAAGCCTCAGACCCTTAACAAGAGTCGCCCAGTCACGTGTCAGGATGGCTTCCCACAATGCTCTACTGATTCCAACCCTTAGAATGTTGTAGAAAAAGGAAACCATCTCTTTCACACTGAGATCTCAGAATACTACTCTTTATTTTACATTCAAGAGGTTCCAGATGCTTCCACAGCTTTAATTCTAAAGCCTACACTCAAAGAACACAGAACTTGTGTGCAAATATTTTTACTTATAGGTACAATAGGTAAAGGGGAATAAAAGGAAGGGAGGAGGTTTGAGAATAGGAAGACAGTAGAATGGATCAGACATAACCTTCTTGCATGCATATATGAATACACCACCAGTGAAACTCCACATTATGTGCAACTGCAAGAATAGGATCCTAATTAGAATAACTTATACTCCGTGTATGTTTAATATGTCAAAATACACTCTGCTATCATGTATATCTAAAAAGAACAAAATTTTAAAAAGAAATGGTAGAAAGAGAAAGGATAAAGCAAGCTTATTTGACTAGATGTTCCCGTATTATTAAATTCACATTTTTTTACACAGAAAATTATCTTAAGAATGGGACAATGAAATTTATGGGTCTAGAATTCTTTAAACATACACATAATTTTCTTAGTATATTGTTCTTTCACTTTTCAAGTCAAATTTTTCAGGACCCCCAATGAGTTCTAGTCATCAATTTTCTCATAGCCTCTTTAACCTCCTTGTTTCTGAGACTGTAGATGAGGGGATTCAGCATAGGGATCACCACCGTGTAGAACACAGACACCACCTTGTTCTGGTCAGTGGAGTAGCTGGACTTGGGCATCACATAAATGAAGGTAATGGTCCCATAGAACAGAGTGACCGCAGTGAGGTGGGAGGTGCAGGTGGAGAAGGCCTTGTGGCGCCCCTCAGTTGAGCGCATCCTCAGGATTGAGAAAAGGATGTAGACATAAGAGACAGCAATGACAATCACAGTGACCACAATGATGGAGCCTGAAGAGATGGCTGGAATTATTTCTGAAGTAAAATCATGAGAACAAGAAAGCTTTAAAAGTGGTGAATAGTCACAGAAAAAATGATTGACTTTATTGGGTCCACAGAAAGACAGACTTAGTAAACAGCCAGTAAATGTCCAAGCATTCACACATCCACCTAGGTAGGAAGCCCCCACTAAGAGCATGCAGACTCCAGGGGACATGTGGGTGGAGTAGAGCAGGGGCAAGCAGATGGCCACGTAGCGATCGTAGGCCATGGCAGCCAGCAGGAAGCACTCAGCTGTCCCAAAAGTCACCACAGAACAGAGTTGAGCTACACAACCAGCCACAGAAATAAACGTTCCCTTCCTAAGGAAGCCTGTGAGCATGACAGGTGTGACTGATGAGGAGTACCCAATGTCTACAAAGGCCAAATGACAGAGGAAAAGGTACATTGGGGTATGTAGTTGAGAGCTGCCTCTGATTAACATGATTATGGTAACATTGCCCACTAAGGTGACAACATAAATTCCTACAAACACAACAAAAAAAATGGTACAAATTATAGCATTCTCTGTCAACCCCAAAATAATGAACTCTGTCACCATTGTGCAGTTTCCAGTCCCCATTTATATTGGGAATGGTCCCCACTGAAAGAAAAACAAGTAGCTGTTAGAGTGGAATAAAATAGTATCCTTTGCATACTTACTTTTACAATCATTGTATAATGTAAATTCCCAAAACATAAATACTCATTTGCAAATTTGGGGGAAAATATTTTCATATAATACCTCATGCAAAACTTGATAAAACAAATGCTCATCAATTCATGGCCAGGAATATGCACAACCCCCCTACTCCCCACCTTTTTTAAACACACTCAAATCACTTGTGGGTCATATTGTTAGTTCAGATGTTCTGTGAAGGATAAAGGTGAACCAGAATAGAACAACTATTTTTCTTTTCTTTCCAGAAATCAGTTGATTTCAAGAAATCACTGGCCTCGATACCCATGTGCTCAGCCAGCCACATTATTACCTTTCAATTATTAACAAAGATCCTTAAATCCTGTATATGTAACATAACTGATAAATGACTATTATCATGAACACAATACACTTATGTGTCTAAACTTCAAAGTGCTACTGTCCTTATCTTTGTATGGAAGATAAGAAGGAATTTTGCCAAAGCTGAACAAAGTTTAGCCTTTTAAGGAAAATACCAGTAGTTTATTTTGGTGTCATTATGGCACAGAAGCAACATGTTAGGCAGAAATGCCTTGAGCTTTGGAGCCTTACAGCCTTGGGATCTGGCTCCAGCTTTGTCACTGACAATTTATGGAATCTTAGACAATTTATATAAACTATTCAACACCCATCATTACTTTGTTTTTTTAAAAAACATACCTCACAGGATTCTTATTTTTAATAAGACGATATATGTAATAATAACAAGCACTGATAATAGAAATATGGGTATGAGCAAAAAATAGTACCTTAAAATTACCAATTCTTAACTTCTAATATATAAATGAGAAACAAACCTTTCTGTATCAATAGAAAGGGAACACTATTACCTGTAGATGTATGTACCTCAACAATAAGGACAACTAACAAAGAATTTTCAATGTAAAGCAAGGCTATATTTATGAGAAGTTAGATCTTTTGGGATATAACCTCTTGAGTACAATTACTAGTGTGTGAAAATTCATTAGGATGATGAAAATTGCAGATGCACATTCCAATATAAAATGATTGTCTAATATTAATGGATTTTTTTCTGTGCATTAGACTTTTTTATATGAAAAATTCTGATGGATTACTAAAACCATTCTAATTATACTTACAAGGGTAAGCAAAAGTACAGTGTCCTAGACACAATTTCAATTCAATATAGAAATCTTTCTAGAAGAATTAAGTGCTTATGAGATTTTTGTATTTCTAGATGGTTTTACCTTTGCTTTTTAATTGAACTCTTTATTTTAAAATAATTGGACAGTCACATACAATTGTAAGAAATAATAACAATTCAGAGATCCTATATTCCTTTTACCCAATAATAACATATTGTAAAATTATTATGCAATATTCCAACCAGTATATTGACAGTGATACCATCAAGATGTAGAATATTTACATCACCATAAGGATCACCCATGTTACCTTTTATAACCCAATGACTTTCCTTCCATCCTCATCTTCTCCTTAACTTCTGGCAACAGCTAATATGTTCTCATTTCTATCATTTTATTATTTCAAAACTTTTTCATTATATAATACCCTGTTAGTTAGGCATCTAGTTCATTTTTCTTTTAACAATTTTTTCCTTAAAATTTTTGCACTATACTTATACTACTATACCTTTTCTTTACTGTTGTAATTTTCCCAGTGATAACTCTTGGCAACCATTTACTTTCAACCTTCTTCTCCTGCCGCAGTCTGGCTGGGCACAATCAGGAGCCACTTGTCAAAAGAAACTAACTTTATTTTTAGAACCACACACGCCAAACAAAACAGCCTCTCAGGAAAAACCCTCAGAGCCCCAACTGCCACCACCGGCTTCCCACAAGCCTCTCTCTCCCACACAAGCCTCTCTCCACCTCCCCCAATCCTCCTGCTCTTGAGGCCGATTGGCTGGGTCACGTGGGCGGAGCCCAAAAAGTCCCCCAATGAGCAGCTCCGCAGTCTGAAAGGGCAGGGAAACAGCCCAATGAGCATCACCGCAGAGGAGCCAATCAGCTAGATGTTGCTGGGGCCGCTGTGAGCCAATCATCAGCCGGCAGCTGGAAGTTTGCTGGCAGCTGGAAGTTTGCTGGGAGCCCTTCGGCTGTGGCTCTAAACATTCTCCCAACTCCAGCCTAACTTCAAGTGGTCCTTTCTCCCATTTTTTTCCTTATAGGTTGTTGAGAAGATACATAACCTATTCCTACTATACTAAGATTATATTTGATAAAATACTCTGGGCAAAATTATAAATGTATATAGTATCTGTCTCACATGAATTCTTCTTTCTGATAAGAATGCAAGATAAGGGAAGTGATATCAGTAAGATGGTGCTAGGGATTGAACCTGGGGGTACTCTACCACTGAATGCATCTTCAACCATTTTTATTTTTTATTTTGAGACAGAGTCTCATTAAGTTGCCCAGGCTGGTCTCAAACTTATTTTCCTCCTGCTTCATCCTCCAGAATCACTGGGATTACAGGCATAAGCCCTCACACCTGGCAAGTGTAGAGTTTTCTGTATAATTAAGATTACCAGCCTAAAATAGTTATAAGATATTTTATAAACCTCATGATAATTGCAAAGAAAACACCTATGAAGACATAAAAAAGAGAAAGGAATCAAAGAATGTTACTATGAAAAAAATCAACAAATCATGAAGGAAGACAGTAGAACAGGAAAAGATGGACAAAAGAACCATGAAAGAGTCAGAAAATAATTAACAAAGTGGCACTAGTAAGTCCTTACCTATCAATAATTACTTTAAACATAAATGGACAAAAATCCATAGTCAAAAGATAAATATTCATCCAAAAATCTGTCAGAATTAATAAAGGAATTCAACAAAGTTGTATGATCAAAAACAAAAATATCAGCTGCTTTTCTATACGTTAACAATGGACTATTTGAAAAGAAATTAAGAAATAATTCTATTCTAAAATAATCCAAAAGAGTAAAATGCATAGGAATAAACTAAGGAAAGAAAAGATCTGTACCCTGACACCTGCAAAACATTGGTGAATGTAATGGTAGAAAGTATAACCAAATGAAAAGGCATCTGTGTTCATGGATTGGAAGACTTAATATTGTTAAAATGTTCACATTACTCAAAGCAATTTATAGAATAAAGACAATCCTTATCAAATCCCAATTATATTCTTGCCATAAGTGAAAAAATTAATCCTAAAATTCATATGGAACCACAAAGACACCAAATAGCCAAAACAATCTTGAGAAAAAGGAACAAAGCTGAAGCATCATACTTTCAAAATACCTTTACAATATTGAAACAGTATGATACTGGCATAAAGATAGACATATGATCAGAAGAATAGATAGGAATTTCATATATAAACCTTACAGGCATGCTCAAATGATATGTAAGTGCCATGACTACATAATGGAGAATGGAAATTCTCCTCAACAAATGGTACTGGGAAATTAAATAAGTGAATATAAATAGATCAAATTAGACCTCTATCTTATACCATTTGCAAAACTAAATTCAAAATGGGTAAAGACTTAATGTAAGATTGGAAACTATAAAATTTCTAAAACAAAACATAGGGGGCAGCTTCACGACATTGCTCTGGGCAATGATTTCTTGAAAATTGACCCAAAGCACAGGCAACGAAAGCAAAGATAGACAAAAGGACTGTGTCAAACTAAAAAGCTCCTGCTCAGCAAAGAAAACAATCATCAGAGTGAAAAGGCATTCTATGGAATGAGAAAATATTTGCATTTCCTGTTAAAGATTTAATTTCCAAAACATATAAGGAAAACATTTTTAACTCAATAACGAAAAAAACCCTAATAACCCAATTAAAAATGAACTAAGAAGACATATAAATATCCACATATTTATATCTCTTCCAAAGAAGACAAAAATAGCCACTGGATAATTAAAAGATGCTCAATGTCACTTGTCATTACTTGAATGTAAATCAAAGCCAAAATTAGATATTGTCTCATGCTTGCATAAATGGCTATTATTTTTAAAAAAGACAAGAAGTGTTTTCATGGATATGGGGAATTTAGAGTCCTTGTACACCATTGGTGGGAATGCAAAATGGTACAGTCCCCCCAAGGAATACAGTATAAGAGTTCCTTTAAAAATTAAGAATAAAACACTGTATGATCCAGAAACATGTCTTCTGACTATTTGTCCAAAATAATTGAAATCAGTATTTTCTGGATTCAATTAATCCATGTTCATTGCAGCACTGTTCAAAATAGCTAAGATGTAAAAACCAATTAAATCCCCTTCGAAAGATGAATGGATAAAGAAAATGTGGCATATATATACAGTGGAATTTTATTCAGCTTAAAAGAAAAGGAAATTCTGCAATATGCAACTTCAATGTCCTTTAAGATATTATGCAAAATGAAATAAACCAGTCACAGAAGGACAGGTGCTACATGATTCCACTTAAATAAAGTATCTAAAATAGTCAAATTAACCGACTCAAAGAATAGAAATGTGGGTCCAGCACCTGAGGGTGGGGGACATGGGGAGTTACTCATCCATAGGTACAAACTTTGAGTTAAACAAGATGAATAATTTTGTCACATACTCTACCACAGAGCTACACCCTTGACTCTTGAGTAAAGATAGAGATGTCAGTTACTATTTTAATTGGCCATAGCATAGATTAAAAAAAATGATTTAACATCAATTCAACAAATGTCTATTTTATGCCTCCTGTATTTCTAGTACTGGACCATTAAATATGGATACAAAAACAGTCATAGAGACTGTATCTTCACACCAGGGAAAGAGGAAGTTTTTAAAAGGATTTTTAAAGGAAAGGTAGTAGTAGTAGTCAAGAGTTGTGAACAAAATGTTAGTGGAAAGACAGGGATGAAAGAAATTTAATTCTCCCAGATGTGATCTGGATGTTTTTATGGAATCATTGGCTACCTATTTGTGTCACTCATCAGTCACAGTCATGTTAGGTAGGAGATAGGGCACGGGAAGGAACAGAAAAAGCAGAAGGGAGGTTGCCACATTTCACCTGAAGCCCAGCCTCTGAGGCAAAACTGGGTCATTGTGAGGTTAAAGGGAAGAAGTTAGATGATCACAAAGAGGAATTCAAGCCCCTGAAGGGAAAGCCCTTTATATGCAATAGCCAAGGGACTGACCTAAATTTAACTCTTTGCTTGTCAACATATCTTTAGCATTTCAATTTGTTCCTCTTTTATGTATTTTCCAGGGGAAGGGGGGCAGGCAGAAACTTACCATTTTACAGTGTAAAAGAAATTGTGTCAGGTTCAGCTGTCAATCAAGGTGCCATTCAACCCCAAATCCACACAGGGGAGAAGTGGAGAGCTAGCACATACCGATAAAAGCAATCTCCACTGCGTTGAGCTACTTCACAGCTCGGCCCACTCCCAGTACACTCCCAGATTATACTTTTGCTTTCAATAAACCCTTCTTCGCTAACCTCTGCTGTCTGGCTCAATTCTTTGGTAGAAAGGCCAAGAACCTGGACAGTCATGTTTTCTTAAAACCTAAATGAACTGTCTTTCTAGGACACATGGAACCTCACATGTCCATTTCCTAATTTGTTGAAGTCGAGATGTTTGAGCTGCTAGAACCTCCAAATGTAGATCATCAGGCTTAGCCTTTTTCCAAAAAAGAATTTCTTACGGACTCTCCAATTCAGAATAAAAGGAACCTGACTTTTAACCTAGTGAATATTGTGTTATGTAGCCATAATTAAAGAACACCACAAGCTAATGGTGGTGATGACAAGTGAACAGGCAATGCAGAAACTATATATGTCAGAGTCTTAAAAAATGTTAGTGTAACCTTTATTGTTCTATTTGAAACCACACACAATAGTGGACCAGAGTAGATAACAGACAGAGAAAGAGAGAGTTATTATGTCTACCAGCAATCGGTGTAATGCATATCATGTCTAGGACAAATTATAAAATGTGGGAAATAACTAGATATGGTGGCACAGCCCTGTAATCCCAGTGACTCAGGAGACAGGAGAATTGCAAGTGCAAGACCAGCAATTTATCCAGGCCCTCAGCAACTTAGTGAGACCCTGTCTCAAAATGAAAAATAAAAAGGACTTAGGATGTAGCTCAATGGTAAAGCATCCCTGGGTTAAATCCCTACTATAAAAAAAGTAGATATATATTATTTTTAAAGTTTATGTCACTTCTATGAAAATAATATTGCAATTCTATTGGATGCATCTTTGTAAACCAAACCCAAATTATCTCTAAGTGTAGGTGGCATGCATACCTGGGCCACTGAATATGGCCACATTTCAGCAGTGCCACAAACTGCTGCAAGTATATTAGTCATTTTAATCTAAAAATCAACTTAAATTATAGCAAAATGTTGTGATTTATTTTTTCACATCATTTAATTAAAAATAAATGAAACCCCTGAGTATTTAGAAAATATTTCACTCAGACTTTTACATAATCATGTACACATTTTAGTTCTCTGTCCCAGTAGGTGAGTACATTTAATTCTCTCTCCAGTGGATTGTCTGTGTAATTTTACAAAACAAGTGCAGTAATTAATTCATAACTTCAAGTGAAGTAAGTAATTTGGGGCAATATCCCAAATGACCAAAATGACACTTAAATATGGCTTTGCTATACAGCAACAATTCCTTGGAGCCTCTCCCCACTGTTTCAGTAGATGTTTAACCAGTTTATACTTCTTATTTTTTTAACAACATAGAAATATTTCATTATCCTGTACGTTCCAGAAATAACAAATTACTGTTTCAAAGAAACTGTTAGAAATTGAGGACCTATTTGTTATTCCTCTACTTTGAAAACAGGGCTTGGTGTTTTATCTACATCATATAAATTAACACAAGAATCACATGAGGTATGTATCTCCTTTTTTACAGATAAGAAAACAGAAAATCAAGAAATTCTTATGATTTTTCTCATGATTCCATATACTATAAGAAGTAGAGTTAGAAATGCCAGGTTTTCATGGCCCCAAAGTCCATGATATTTCTACACATCACTAAACTAAGAGCTGGCCTTCCCATGAACATTTATTTGTAGATTATGTTATTAAAATCAGTGTTGTAAATATCCATTTATATATTTCTTGTGCACATAGGGATTAGACTTGCTCTATGGTACACAAGCAGGAATCTAATATCTGGCACCATAATCCAACTTTAGAAATATGTGTGTCTTTTATGCACCTATTTCTTTAAAAATATATTTCTGGTTTGAGTCTTTGTCTAGATAAAAAAGAATCTGAGAATTCTGACACATAATCCTATGTGATGTTGATTGTATACAATTTGACAGAATCTTTGGCTCAGAGCATGGTTACTGATAGTTACATATGCATTTTTAAAAAATATTCTTTCGGGGCTGAGGCTGGGGCTCAGCAGTAGAGCACTCGTCTAGCATGTGCAAAACCCTGGGTTTGATCCTCAGCACCACATAAAAATAAATAAAATACAGGTATTGTGTCCAACTACAACTAAAAAAACTTTTTAAAAAATTATTCTTCAAATAGGGGTTTTTGAAGGAAAATCAAATTATTCTAAAGAATATGCTGGTCTTTAGATTAGAGTCTTGGAAAAGGATGAACGTGACTAGCATTCGCCCCTGTCTTTGCTCATGTGCTATATTTTGAACAAGGGGACCATTATTCTGAAATGCTAATTAATCTTTCTTTCAATGTAATTTTCTCGCTTTCCTAGCTAGCTACAACACCCTTACCTCCCCTCCTCCTGCTTGTGTCAAGTGCCCTCACTATTTATTTCCATACAATTGCTTAGTGGAACTGGCAAAACTAAAAATAACCTAATGCAAGTCACCAAGTATTTCTATTTACTTATAATGCTAGTCCATAATGTCAGCTAGACTGTTATTGCTTCACACAATCCCATAAGCATAAAAAGGTATGATAAAGAAATAATCCTAGGACACATTATCAAACATCTCAAAACAGTACTAAAAATTCTGTTTGGCCTTTCCATCTTGAATATAGACACGAGCCAGCTCTTGGTATTGATTATTATAATTAACAGTATGATTATTATTCCAGGAAAGTGAGAAAGTCAGAAAGAAAGAGATATCCAAGTCAATTCTATCTTTATTGGCCCAGTAAGCTGCATAAATAGAGAGAGCATTTACTAAATAGATAACATAGAGCAGAGGTACATTGGGATGGGAATGGAAAAACTAAAAGCTGGCCTTCCCATGAACATTTAAGTTATTTATAGTTTATGTTATTACCATCAGTGTTGTAAACACCCATTTATATATTTCTTGTGCACATAGGGATTAGACTTGCTCTATGGTGCACAAGTAGAGATCTAATATCTAGGTTCTAAGGTAATTGAGTTTTAAATTTTAATATTTCATAGAATTTGAAAAGAAAACTTGTGTACCCAAAGTATTCTATAAGTAAAACAAAATTTGCCATTTTAAAAAACTTAACTGCAAGTTTATATTTAGGTGCACACATTAATCATGGGTTATTTCAGCCAGTTAAACTGCCTCTGGTTCTGGTTTTGGTAGGCACCATTAAATGGAGAGATGGAGACTGAAAACAATACGGCAGTGACAGAGTTCATCATTTTGGGATTAACAGACAATCGCACACTATGTGCCATCCTCTTTGTGGTTTTCCTAGCAGTGTATGCAGTGACCATAGTGGGGAATATCAGCATAATCCTGTTAATCCGAAGCAGCCCGCAGCTTCACACCCCAATGTACCTCTTCCTCAGCCATTTGGCCTTTGTGGACATAGGATATTCCACGTCAGTTACACCAATAATGCTCATCAGTTTCTTAAGAGAAAAAACTACTATCCCTCTCATGGGCTGCATAGCCCAGCTCGGCTCAGATGTCACTTTTGGGACGACAGAATGCTTTCTCCTGGCCACCATGGCCTATGACCGATATGTAGCCATCTGTTCTCCCCTGCTCTACTCCACCCAGATGTCCCCACTGGTCTGCTTCCTTCTATTGGGGGCATCCTACCTAGGTGGTTGCATGAATGCATCATCATTTACAGGCTGTTTGATGAACCTGTCCTTCTGTGGCCCAAATAAAATCAACCACTTTTTCTGTGACCTCTTCCCACTCCTGAAGCTTTCTTGTGGCCATGTTTACATCGCTGAGATTTCTCCTGCCATCTCTTCTGCCTCTGTTCTGATAAGCACATTGTTTACCATAATTGTGTCCTACATATACATCCTCCACTCCATCGTGAAGATGCGCTCCACCGAGGGAAGGAACAAGGCTTTCTCTACCTGCACTTCTCACCTCACTGCAGTCACTCTGTTTTATGGGACAGTTTTGTTTGTGTATGTAATGCCCAAGTCAAGCTATTCAGCTGGTCAGGTCAAAGTGGCCTCTGTGATCTACACAGTGGTGATCCCCATGTTGAATCCTCTCATCTATAGTCTGAGGAACAAGGAAGTGAAAGAGGCCATGAGAAAATTGATGGCTAGAACACATTGGTTTTCTTGAATTAAATCAGATATAAATCCATAAATAATAAAATCAATGATTTGGGGGACATTTGTGCTTGATATTTTAATGATATTTATCATTAACTTAATTACTTCATGTCAGCGAACTGCTCCTTGTCAATATAGAAAGCCAATGTTTACTTCCATTTTTTGAAGTTAAATGTGTCATTTACATGATCAGCTGCTGGATTCAAAAGAAATGCAGATTTTACAAGGTAAGCACACTTCAGAATATAGTTGCTAACTTAAAATCTTTCCTATTTATCAATTACAGAGTCCTATTTAAACAGAGACATTTCAAAGATCAAATTTATTGAAAATTTTATCTTGTAAAATAACATTTGGGAAAGAAATGCCCAGTTAGATGTGTAATAATCAGCAACATTGACAAGTCAAGTAGTTCAGGTTACTTCCTTTAAGGTCCTTCCTAGCTATGAGCAATGTATATTTACATCTTTGGAAACAGTGATGTTGATGTCTCAGAAAAAAAAAAATTTTCCTTTTAATTAAACCAAAGCAAAAATTAATGATTCTGCTCTTGGTCCTTATGAGAATCATCTCAGATAGCACAGAAGAAACTAAAATGAATTTCAGCTGAGGTTTATTATTAATTGAAGTCTTCATAGATAAGTTCTAGAACAGAACTTTGGAAGCAGACATTTCATTGGACTATCCTGAGTAATAGCTAATATACAGAAAATTATGGTTCAAGCCAAAAAATATATTTGCCATGTACTTCTGTATCTCTCAAGGGGTATCCAGTGTCACTACTTCTCCTACTGCGCTTTGCAAAACTGCTCAAGATGTAGTCTGGTTAGGGCAATTGCCTCTAAATTGATTCCCTGCCTCATGTGTTAACTTCTTCCGCAATAATTTCTGATTCATATTTAAGATGATGAATTTTTTATTAGTAGTATAGCAATTATGTTGGACAAATCCTGAGACAGTGTGAAGGGACCATTTCACAAGCCGACCTCCCATTCCTGGGTTCTTCACTGACCAGATCAAGGGATAGTGCCTCTTCTTCAGCCTAAAAGCCATTGGTCCTATTTCCCCATCTATGCTTGTTTACTTGCATCTTTATGGACCCATAATCCTCCTCAGTGCAAAACTTCTGGAGCTAAAGACACCACAGACATGGCCCTAGGCAAACAGAGAGCTCTCAAGGCATGAATTCAGTCTGGTTTCGGACGGGCCGTCTTAGTGTTGTGGTGGGAACCTGCACTCAGCTGGTTGAAGTTTTTCACAGGCTGCTTCCAGCTGTCCTCTTCACCTTGTCCTCCACACCTGGCCCTTCAACAGGGTTCATTCTTACCCTATCTCCCCACCTCCCCATGGTTCCTTGAGTGACCCTATCTTCTCCCATGAGGTCAATGGCCATCTGAGTGGTCTTTCTTGAAAAACACATGAACTTCTTCACTAGCCTTTTCCCCAGATTCTCAGACTCAGTGTGCTCTGACCAAATTTATCATCTTTCTTCCAAAGCTGCCCCATCTCCTCCATTTCCTTTCTCAGTAAATGTCACTTCTTGGTGAGACTGGTATTCCAAAAAACTTGGGGTAATCCTCACTGCACACTCTTATAAATGGCTGGCCTCATTCCTTCTCTTTCCTTCTCTTAAAAGGAAAATATTTATGTGTTTACCTCATTTATCTAAGCCCCTTTTGTTTGGAGATTAAAATGTTTCCCAATTAATTATGATAACTCTATGCCTGGATTGGCCCTGTGTGTTTCAACTCTAAACGATCATCCAGATTTAAGAGATGTGGATGCATTTGTCTTGTTAAGTCCTTACTGTTCAGGTTATAGATCTATGCTCATTTTACTCTCAGAAGTTTTGAATCAATTGAAGCATGAAAATAAAATGAAGATATATGGAAGAGCAAAATAGTACCTGTAGAAACGAAAGAGATGATATTAGGGAATGTGCTTTATATTTGTGGACACATGTTTTCATATTGTGTTGTTCTTCTCTTTTGGTTATTTGCACTGCTGGGGATCAAACCCAAACCCTTGTGCATGCTAGACAAGGGTTCTTCCATGGAGCTAAACCCCCAGCCCTGTTTTCATGCTCTGAATCCTAGAATTTGATACTCTTTCCTTCTCTGTCACTGAACAGACATTCAGGTCTTTCCATTGAAACTATTTTTACCCATCAGCTTACAACATGGCCCAAAACAGTCATAAGCACTGAGGGCAGGCCTGGTCCCAAGAGAAAGGAGGAAAAAGAAGGGCTGGGATGTTGTTTTGGGGGTAAATCATGTCTTCTCAAAATTCATATATTGAACTTTTAAGCCTTAATACTTCAGAATGTAACTGTATTTGGAAATAAGGTTCATTGCAAATTTAATTTGTTAAGATGAGAGTTTACTGGAATAGGGTGGATTCCTAATCCAGTATGGCTGATGTCCTTGAAAAAAGGGGGATTTTGGACATAGATATCATGCAGGGAGAATGCCATGCAGAGATAAAGACGTAAATCTGGATGATGCTTCTATGTGCCAAGGAATGCCAAAGACTACCTTCAAATTTCAGAAGCTAGGAGAGAGACATGGAACATATTCTCTCCCACTGCCCTCTGAAGGAACCAATCCTGCCAACACCTTGATCTTTGACTTCTAGCCTCCAGAACTGTGAGATAATAAATTTCTGTTTTTTAAGACACCCAGTTTTTATCACTTTGTTATAGTAGCCCTAGTCAAATAATACAATTGCATAACTAACTTTCCCCCTTAAAATTCACCGTCAATTAATCTAATCCTGGAAGAGGAGGGCATGAAGGCTTGGAATGATGCCAGGTATGTTAATGGATGGCTCTCCAAAAAAAAAAAAAAAAAAGGAAAACGTATCTTGATTGGTAAAAATCATTTTCTCCAAACAGAATGAGTGAGCCAGTAAGTGAAGATCAATATTCCTGTGATGAAAAATCAAAAATTCATTTCAAACAATTTTATTAAAAGTTTTCAGTTACTACAGATCATAGATTGCTACTTATAAGGATTGAAACTGAAAGGAATTTTAAAAGATTCTGACCTGTTGTGTTGTTAAAAATTTCTTAGTCTATACAAATTTCTGAGAAACATTCCCTTTCTGAAATGGATTGGGACTTAGGGGGTTATAAACATTTCTCAAAAATTTATAAAATATTTACTGTAGCAGGGTATTGGAGAAGATTAAAAACAAAGGGACAAGAGGGGGCCATGAAATCATTGTATATTATGGTTGGGATGATGGTAATATAGATGCATACATTTGCCAAAAGTCCTCTACCTATACATTTAAATTTTTGTATGTGTATTACACTGCAATAAAGTTGTTTTTAAGAAGATTCTACAAGAGAATTCTTTCTTTCCCATTTTTAACTAAGGCTACAGTTATCACCTACCTGCCCATGTGATTAATGCTGTTTCTTAACTATTTCTCAAAACTGTTGCTTCCTCTCCTGTTATACCTCCCCTGGTTTTCTATAAGTTTATGCTCTTTGGTATTCTTAATTCCTTTATTTTATGCTATCCTTATACCTGCAAAATTTTTTCCTCCTTAAAAAAAATATTGTTTTCATTTTCATGCAAGTTTACTGGTGATGTTTTTTGCTGTTGTTGTTTGAGGGTTTTGTTTTTACCAGTTAAAAATCTTAGAGCACTTATAAAATTTCATTGTTTTCTAGTTTCAATCATTTTCCTTGAAAGTCAACCATCAATATTTTTTCTTTTGTCTTTGTTTTTGTTTAAGGGAATATAACTTTTATCTTCTCCTGGAAACTTATAGTTTCTCTCTTTCTCTGTTTTTTAAAATATTTTGTTTTAGTTGTAGTTGGACACAATACTTTTATTTTATTTTATGTGGTGCTGAAGATCGAACCCAGCACCCCACACGTGCTAGGTGAGTATTATAAAATTCAGTTTTTTTTTTAATTTAATGATGGGCAATGAGGATAAAAAAATTGTAGAGTCTGTACATGAGAGTGTCTTACTCCAAAATCTATTTGATTTTCTTCTGGCAGGTAACAAAGGCACTGGATTGATCCCTTTGAGGAAATGGAAATGTTGTACTCAAAGAGATCATTCACATACAGAAACAACTGATATTTCAGTATGCAATATACTCCTAAACTTCTATTGTATTAGAACAGAAATAGCATTTCCAGAGCTGCTTGGACATTATACTTTGTTGGTGATGATGTATTACTAGCTTAGTCTTACTTCAAGGTAGGGTATAACCCTTTAGGAGTCTCAAAAGCTTAGAATGTTACAGTCTCCTCCATCTTAAGTGGCCTAACTCTATCAAATTAGCACTACAAAAGGCTAAAATCTCTGCTCAGATCTTCAGCCTCCCACAGGATGCCTTCTGCCTGGTGTTTTGATGTCGTGCCAGCCCCTGTGTGGCTTAGGAGTAGTCAAATTTCTTGAGAGAAAACCACACATAGAATTTCAGGCTTGTTTCTCTACAGTGGTTTCAGGATCTTGACCTGGTAAATCTTAGCTGTCTTGGCATCTTCGACCTCCAAAGTATGTACTTACCCTGTCACCCTACCAAAAGGCCCAAGCCCTACCTTTTTGCTGAATCTCTATTTCATAAGGACCAAAGCAAGCTTGGTCCTTATGCCATTCCTGGTCTGCTGCAATTTCTAGATACTCGGGCCTCTTCTGAAGGCACACTCAGTTGCCAGAACTCCTTGGAAGTATTCTGTTCACGCCTACAATCAGTGGTGCTCATTTGCCTGAAGGAGTCTTTGACCAACTGCCTCATGTTCTTGGCTTCAGTTATCTTATAGTTATTTAAATATTGGAGCTAAAATATTTAATTCATACATGACTTTAGCTATTATAAAATTTTGTGGGTGATATACATTATGGCATTTATTTATAATTCATAAAATGAATTAATTTATATATTCACACAAATGAGTTACTTTATTAACATACTTTCTGACAGAAGTTAATACACAATTTTCTTTAGTCTCAGCATGAAAATTATATGCAGAGGAAATGGAAGCAT